GGGACCGTTCTGTATCTTGGTTGTGGAGTTGGATGCACAACTGTGTGTGTTTATTAGGACTCATAGAAAGGTACCCTCAAGAGGATAAAATTTACTGTGTATGAGTTGTATCTAAACTCAAAAACAACAATGATAAGGCTGGGTGCGGTGGCTCATGCCTATACTCCCAACACTTTGAGAGACCAAAGTAGGTGGATCATGAGGTCAGGAGTTTGAGACCAGCCTGGCCAACGTGGTGAAACTCTGTCTCTACTAAAAATACAAAAATTAGCCGGGCGTGGTGGTGTGCACCTGTAATCCCGGCTACTCGGGAGACTGAGGTAGGAGAATCGCTTGAAACCAGGAGGCAGAGGTTGCAGTGAGCCGAGATCACACCACTGCACTCCAGCCTAGGCGACAGAGCGAGACTCCGTCTAAAATAAATAAATAAATAAGAACGTGTTTATAGGTCAGTAGAACAGAATCCAGAGTCCAAGAAGAAACCCTTACATTTCTGGTCGATTGATTTTTTTTACAGAGTGCCAAGACAATTTGATGGAGGAGAGGGCGATGCTGTAATCAATTTGATACCCACAGGCCAAAAGATGAATTTAGATCTTTTGCTTATAGGATGCATTAAAAAAAACAAAACAAAACAAACAAAAAAAAAAACTCAGATCATATGCCTGAATGTAAGAGCTAAAGCCATCTAACTTCTAGAAGAAACCATGGTCTCAAGATAGTCTTCATGACCTCGAGTTAGGCAGAGAACTTAAATTGAACAGCAAAAGACAACTGACAAGAGAAAAAAACTGATGTTAGACTTCATCAAAATTTAAAATTTTTGTACTTCAAAAGTCACCATTAAGAAGAGGCCAGGCTTGGTGGCTCACACCTGTAATCCCAGCAGCACTTTGGGCAGGTGAATTGTTTGAGCCCAGGAATTTGAGACAAACCTAGGCAACATGGCAAGACCTCATCTCTACAAAAAATATAAAATTTATCTGGGTATCATGGTACAGGCCTGTAGTCCTGGCTACTTGGTGGGGCTGAGGTGTGGCAATTGCTTGAGCCTGCAAAGCTGAGACTGCAGTGAGCTGTGATTGTGCCACTGTGCTCCAGCCTGGGTGACACAGCAAGATCCCATCTCTAAAAAAGAAAGGAGAAAAGAAGTCAGGTGAAATAGATCATGCCTGTGGTCCCAGCACTTTGGGAGGCTGAGGCAGGCAGATCACTTGAGGCCCAGGAGCTCCAGACCAACCTGGCCAACACAGCGAACACAGCCTGGCCATCTCTACTAAAAATACAAAAAGTTAGCTGGGCCGTGACGGCACATGCCTGTAATCCCAGCTACTTGGGAGGCTTGAACCTGGGAAGGAGAGGTTGCAGTGAGCCGAGATTGTGCCACTACACTCCAGCCTGGGTGACACCGTGAGACCCTGTCTCAAAAAAAGAAAGAAAGAAGAA